GGGATTATAGCAGCAGAGGGTCACAGGGATGAGTGGCCATGTCTGAGCTATGGGAGGACTGGCTCAAAGCTGGAGGAAGGGTATCCAGAGCTGTCAAGCCCAGCTTCATTCTTGGGAGGCCCAGGCTATTGGGATGGCATTGTCAGTAGGGGCTGTCCACTTCTTCCAAATATTCCTCTGGCCCGGATGCTGCTTGGCAGTGAGGCTGGCACTGGAGGTTAGTCCTGGCACCCATCTTCCAGGACTCCCCTTCAAAACTCCTGTAGCCTCCCACAGTCAAGATCAAGCAGCAAGTAATGTCAATAATCAGAGGTCCACCAGGAATGAAGCCTTGATTCTTGTCCAAGGGGGATAACATGCCAATCAGCAGGTAAAGCTGGGAGGCTCCATAGCTATTCCAGGCCAGCCCTCACAATTTATTATATGGGGGTGCAACCAGGTCCCATGGATCCCAATATAGAGCACCCTGTCTCCAGGGATAATTTCTGTGTGACTTGCAGAAGCTAGTAGAAAATTTAGGATTCCTCCATGTTATAACCTGCCTACTGCAAAACATTGTGTCAATTGATTTTCCCCCCTCCAATTAAACTTTTCTCAAACCATCATGATCAGAGTTCTTTCCAGGTTGTCCAAGCTGTCTATAAATGATAATCATAGTGCCTACATGTACTTTCCAGATCATCTTACTTTGCCTCACCCTGCTACTAAACGAGAAAACTCCAGGGAGGCTGACCAACTTCTCAGAGGCTGCACAGGTATAATTGGAGGTGGTGAGTTTAAACTCAAGATCTTCTTGCTCTTAAAACCACCATGCACACAGTCTTAGGGTCCCCAGATTCCTAAGAGACAGCAGGGCCCTAGGCAAGAAGTGAACCCAACTCTATGCTTTATGCTAGGGGTATGTTTTAGAGATTGGTCCCCAGAGAAGTTAACTATGACATAGACTCATTCATTGATCACACTTATCTTAAAATGTCCAGCAGTTCGGAAGCATACATTCAGGAAATATGAAACACTTTCAGAGTAAATCAAGGAAAATTAGCTTGAAGACTTAATTATGAACTTTTGGAATCCAGTTTCCAGATTTTTACAACAGTATCCATGTTGTTCCAACCAGAGGCCAGTGTCATGGGACTACAGGGATTAATATACTTTGCTGTGGAGCAAAAAACAGTGAAGAGTTGAGGCATCTGCCCAGATCTGCCAGAGATTCCTGGGCATCTAATCAGTCATTTCCCTTTCCTGGGTCTCCTTATCTTCCATGGTAGATTAGGACAGCTGGAATGGAATCTGAGTTTCCCTGCCTTTTTCCTATTATAGTGCACACAGAAGTGAGTAAAGCAGCACATGGGGTGAACAGAAAAGATCTAAGACTCTGATCACACCTGGAAGAAATATAAGGGGCCCCCTATCGTCTCACTTTCTGAGGTTTTAGGTACTCATGGTAACCTAAGGCATCTGTATCATCTCACATCAGCACAAGAATAAAAAGTGCAAATGATGATAAGATAGTTTGAGAGAACAAGAAACACTACATTCATATAACTTTTACTACAATATATTGCTAGAATTGTTCTACTTTATTATTAACTATTGTTAATCTCTTACTGTGTCTAATTTATGCATTAACTTTATCACAAGAATAAGAAAACATATGGTGTATATCGGCTTTAGTACTATGCACAGTTAAAATCATTCAGTGAGTGTGTTGAACCATATCCCCTGTAGATAAGGGGGATGCTGTACCTATGACACCTGTAACTCATTTTTGACAGCAAATGAGCTTGTGGAGCTCTGAACTAGGTGACTGAGTGTTAAAATATCACTGCAACTCTCAAGTTCAGTCATTTCCCAATTCATTTTTGCTGATTACTGGCCCTGTATGTAAAATCCTGTAAAATTCTGAGATCACATCTAATAACTACAGAAAAAAGACAGTCTAGGGCAGAGGTCCTTATTCCAGACATGTGGACTGTTACAAAGTTCCACTGAATAGCTTTAAAAAATCCATCCACCTTCTGAAACGATAGCCAAGATTTTACGTTTATGTAGGTTATCCTAGGGAGGTATCTATGGCTTTTATCAAATTATCATAGAGGAGTCACTGTTTACAATGTCAGGACTTACTGATGTACGATAAGCCTTATCCATCTTTAAAATACAGATCTATATTTTTACAAATGCCAAATGAGAGCAGTGGCCTGGCAATAAGAGTAATCAACCTGGGGTCATCTGCCCAATGTTCACTGAGATGGCAGTTCCTTCAAGAAAAGGAGCTCTAGTCAGGCACCAGTGGCTCATGCCAATAAATCTAGCTACTACAGAGGCTGAAATCAGGAGGATCATGGTTCAAGACCAGTCTGGGCAAATAGTTCTTCCCAAGACCCTATTGGAAATTCCCAACACAAAAAAAGGTTGGCAAAATGGTTCAAATGGTAGAGTGTCTGCCTAGCAAGCAAGAACCCCTGAGTTCAAACTGTAGTACTGCCAAAAAAAGAAAAGAAAAAGAGCTCTTACATAGTCACGAAATATATTTTAATAAAAATAAAACCAAAATGTGCTGATACAATCCAGTAACATTATTACATTAAAAATACATCTTGAGTGCTTTTAACAGAAACAAAATTAAGACACAAATTAGAGAGAGAGAAGCTTTTTGACTTAAAATAAACTTCCAGTTAAAGATTTTAACAGGGAGGGCCTCCCTTAAGTCAGAGATTTTCAGGAAATCCTGATAAGCTTCTGATAAGCTGACTTTCATTTTTACAGATAGCCTGCATTGATATCCTCCATTGAATGCCATCACAATCAATTAAATAAGTGAGTAGCAACTGGAGAATCCATTTCCTAAGATTCACAGCACATGGGGAAACTCTCAGAGAAGACACATCACTGTCTCCCCCTTTCATGACAGCCACCACTTCTGCCTATGACTTTTGGAGGGAAATGCCAATGGGAAGGAAGGGTCAGCCCCAAATTAGAATGGGGAGAGAGTTCCCAGATTACCACCAGACCACTCACCGTAGGAAATCCAGATTGTACTGCCCAGTAGTCAAAAGGTCAAAGATGACGCCACCTGTACTTAGGTGGCCACCTAGTGTGGTAGGGCCGACAGCCAGCAGAGTAGTACAGGCTCCACATAAAGAAGTGCAGAGTGCCATCCGCTGGCCCCTGATTCCCTGCCTTCTCCAGCATCCCTAACAATCTCCAGAGACAAACCAAGGGAAGAAAAGACTCAGAGAGGGTGAGAGGGTAAGGAGGATGGAATGAGGAACCAAGCAGTGCCGATCGCTTTCCTCTAGGGTGCACCAAACAGCTATTGCACTTCAATTAGCAAATCCTTCATGAGAAATTATGTCTTTATGTTGGAAAGATTAACTGAGAATTAATTAAAGAAATGACCAACACCTGATTTGAAGGCCCCTTGAGCTTCTCACTAGGAGGGCACCTGCTCTCCTCTCACTGCATGCGTCAGAGAGGAAACAAGGGAGAAGAGAGGGAGGGACTAGGCAAATATACTGAGGCAAAAAGGCAAAGATCAAGGAAGAACCTGAAGAAAACTATATATGTGAAATAAGCCAATCATAAAAAGACAAATGCTGTATGATTCCACTTATCTGAGGTCCCTGGAAGTCAGATTATGGAGATGGGAAGTGGAATGAAGATGGTCAGGGGTGGGGGAGGAGGCAATGGGAATTAAGATTCATTGGCATAGAGTTTCAGTTTGGGAAGATGGAAAAATTCTAGAGATGGATGATGGTGATGGTCACAAGGCGTTGTGAACATACTTAATTCCACTGAGGTGTTCCCTCAAAATGGCCAAAAAGGTAAATTTTATATTCATATGTTTTGCCACTATTAAAGATCTAAAGCAATTATTAAATAAAAGGAGGGTCAATGCAAGCCAAGGACCTCGGTACCATGATAAACAAATGTAAGAGCTAGGTCTCCTAGGAACATGAATTTTCTAAGAATGGTGGGCTCCTTAGCACCTGAGTCCACCTAAAGCTAGGTGCCGTCCACAGCCTATGAATAAGGGGCACAGGCCATCTGGATTCTGTTCCAATGGAGGGGGACATGGCAACCACTGTTCTCCCAACTCTCCTTTCTGCTTCTACTCCTACTGAACTCTCCCAACATGCCTCTGGGTTGACTCCTTTCAGTGCCCACAGCCTTCCTCTTAGTGAGGACCACTTATTAAGTCTTGATGTGTTGACCACAACATGACAAAGTTGTACTGTAGCTAATTTCCTTCAGTTAGGGTCTTGGAAAGTACTGATGGGGGTAGATGCTAATTTTTAGTATTCAAAAACTTGGCAAATTGTTAAATCACTAAGTGATGTGTAATGAGGGTACACTCACTAATCAAAGGCTTACATTGCTTCACTTGAACTAGAATTACACTACCTCAGTATGGCAACTGTGTTTCTCACAGGCTCCTCAGATTCTGGTGGACGTAGGTGTCTAATAGGAAAAGTAGAAAAAATTTTCCTTAATTTGGTTTGACAAATAAAGTTCTCTGGTCTAGGAAACCCCCAAGTGGATTCCAAGGGCACCAGGTTAAGATGGTGGCTACAGCAGTTTATCTGCACTAGAGGAGTGAGGGAGATTCAGACACAGCAAATACTGCCTGAGGACAGCGGACAGGCATAGACAACATGTCATTCTCCTTGCCAGGCCTCTCCAAGCTGGCGTCAAGGCTCCCATCTCAGACATGGGGCCCAAACTCTGACATGTGGACTACCATCTCTACAGCCCTCTGTGTTCCATTTCCACAGGACCCCAATGCTGTATCTACCCTGTGCTCAGTGAGAGTTCATGAGTGTTCAGGTGCCATTCAGTTAATAATGGCCTTATTAAAGAAGAGGTGCTGTTTTTCCTTAAAGTAGTTTTGATCCAAAGGCGCAAACAAACAACAAGAACAAACACAGGCCCTCTTACAAGAATAGCAAGCGAAGGGCAGATAGCCCCAGTGAGATGCATCCTTGTCCAGTTGTCTGTCAGTGGGTGATGAGCCCTGTGTCACCTTCCCTGCAGTCACAGGACGTGTGCCTCAGCAACTGGACTGGAGAAGATGGTGGGTATCTTCTGGGTGGCATATGGTACCTCACTTTTTTCCAAAACTTGGTCTTGGCACACTGTGACTGTTCTGTGAAGTCCCCACTCCACTGGATGGCCCCATGCTTCTGTCTGATGTACTGAATGGACTCAGGCATGGTGCTATAGTCCTCAATTTCCTCCATTTCAATCAGAATGACTTTCATTCCATCCTGGATGAGGGCGTTGTAGACTGCGATTTGTTCTTCAGACATGTTCTTTAACAGACCAAAACTCAGCGATTCCGGAACTATAATGACAATCAGCCTCCTACACAGCTTAATGTTTTCATCAATGACATTGGCCACAGCTGGATAAAGAAGGAAGATTCAGAAGATCTCATGGTTAAAGCAGCACGGTCATAATGCTACCAGGATATTGAAATGGGCGCTGAGAAAATGGACTTTAAAATAGACATGACTTCAGCAGAAATAGATTAACAAAAGCTTTTGACATCTATCGACACTCTCTGAAGCCTTCCTAGCTTTCCTCTGAGGTCATGAATCACTTTTTTTTCCTGCTATTCTGGTTTTGTGTCCTTTTCCCCTAGTCAACAAGTGCCTCATCATGCCTAATTTTGTATCCTCAGAATAGTTGAATGTATACATTAGATAATGAGCATACTTCTTCAAACACAGATTTTAAAAGGAGGGGAAAAATAGCTAGCTCAACTATGCTAGTCTTATGTCTTATTCTTTATAGTTATTTAAATGACCATGATTTTTATATGACTAACTTAGAAACCAAATAACATAGTAGTGATCTCTTGGGGGGAAAAGGAGAAAGGTCTGTAAATACCCAGCTCTGCAGGTACTATTTGGTCTCCAGTCCCCTCCCATAGGATCTAAGAATAAACTGTAACCTCCCCAAGGACAGGTTCCTTTTCTGTTTGACCCCTTATTTTCATATTTCTAGTGCTAAGAGCAGTACCCCTCACATAGAGGCTGTCAGTAAATATTTGTTCCATAAGTAAACAAATGCTATTTCCTAGTGAGTAGAAAGGATGTTTATTTTAGTATTCTGTCATTTTACTGTAAAGCCTTCAAACAAAAAGAGCAAAAAGGACAAAAAAATTTCTGTGTTGAGTTTGTAATGTGTGGTAAGGACCTTATTGGTCTCTTGTCAAGTTTGTCCTCTTGGCTAAGACAGGGCAACATTTTCACCCCCACTTTACAGATGAGACAACTGAGGATCAGAGATGTTGAGTGAATTGCCCAAAGTCACGCACCTATTAAATGGGGGAAGTAAATGAAAATTTTCCATTTTATTTAGGTAGAGGAGGAGCTGGCGGGGTTGAAGTTTATAAAATCAGCTTTCAACATGATCAGATTTGCATGTTCAAACTGATGTAAAATAGCAGCAGTTAATCTCAGTGACAGGAAGGCAAATGACCATTTGTGTCTTTTCAGTGTTTCAGCCAAGACTATGTCACTAACCATCTGTTCATGTGACTGGGCTAACCAAAGCAAGATAACATTATACAACTAGGAGTCCCCAGCACTGTGTTGTAGCAATGAGCCTACTGAAAGAAGAGAGTTTGGCCTAACCAGGGTTGGATGGGACAGATGGCTTTGGTCATAAACTCTTGGGGTTCTACAGGCAGACAAGCAGAGTTGCCACCATCTGTAATGGTAATGCGAAGAGAGAGATTCTGCCCCTATTTTTTTTTTTTTGAAACAAGATGTTGTTATGTAGCCCAGGCTAGCTTCAAACTTGCAATCCTCCCACTTCAGGATCCTGAGTGCCGAGATCACAAGTGTGTACCACCACACAGGGCCCTTCCCTTTTTATTTGCTGTCTTATACCTCATTTAAAACACACCTTGTCCAGGGAATTCATCCCTGCCAAATATAAATAACTTATATCCACACTGCTTCTCCAGCACCTCAGGCAGGAGCTTCAACACCAGTGTTGCCACATCATGGTTCTGGCTTTCTTTTTGAGGCTTGGGATATAAGACATAGGCGTCATACAGCTTCCTGTCTGAAAAGGAAATGGGATGAGTTAATGGAATTATTCCTACCAGATTTCATCATGAGAACAAAGTGAACACTTAACTTGCTACCATGATGCCCCTTTGGCTTCGGTTTGGTGAATTCTAAGTGCCCTACTGCTGACTTGGCACTGCCATGCTACCCCTCTCACTCTCGCAGTCAACCTAGAAGAAACATGGTCTCACCCCCATCACAGGGGACTGAAGCTGAGATGGGACAGGTGACACCATTTCTGAATTCCTAACTCCAACCCAAGCCTTCTGGTTCTAAGTCCGCCACTCCCCGTGATGGGGCTGAAAACAAGATTCGAGAGGCTGAGATTATAGCAACATGAGTGGGTCCTGAGCAACAAGGACTCTCTGACCTGCGTCAGACAAAATGGGCTGAATCCCCCCAATTTATGCCCACCAATAAATTCATCACAGAGAGCACAAACCTGAGTAGAGTCTCTGAAAGAATCCAGCACAATAGCACACGACCCATCATAAGAATGAGCCAGTATTTACTGAGCAACCATGAACGATCAGTGTGCAAAGATGAACAAGCCACACGATCCAACTGGGCAGACCACTCATGTACCCAGAAATAAAACAACCGAAGGCATTACAAGATGCCAGCTAAATGAACACAAGAGATAGATGGAAGGGAAAACTCCTCCATCATTTGTAGTTCTTGAAACAAATTCACAAAGGACATGCAGCAGCTCCTGGTAGTGAAGAAGTGGGGAGGGTCTAAGAGTGAAGGGTAAACAGGTGTGCCAGGGAGCAGCGTAAGGCAGGTGTAGAAGGATGCCCTAGTCAGGGATCCTTGGATTGAGTAAGCAACCTCAGTAGTACTGGGGGAGGGGAGAAGAGGGTGTTACTCTCACTGGAATAGGGAATTTCTAGCTTCAGATTTTTTGGAAACTCAAAGACAACCTAATGGGTACCATGAGGACATCTGTCGTTTTCATTTCCCTTTTCAATGGAATGTGTTCAATAAACAGACTTGGAGAAAAGAGTGGTTCTAACATTAACAAGAGAAGGCAACATTTATTCTTCTTCTAGTTTTTGTCTAAATAACTATAGTTAAAATGGGTACAGAACATGTTCACATGTTGCCTTTTCTCATTCCATCATTCTTACACTAATCACTGCTGGCCTTCAGGTCTCTGCTCACTATTCTTGGTCATCCTTTGGAGAATGGTAATTCACTCACACAAATGCACAAATTCACACCCATGTATGCACAAATATACATGTATGCTCATGTAGTCGTGCAAACACTTGTGTATAAATACATGCACAGTTACACAAAGTGCACATACACGCACAGGACACACACACACACTCTTTCTCTGTTTCCCCAACCCCATTCATGAAAGGAAGTGGTGTGAGGGTGGGGACTTGGGTTTTCTGCTCTAACCTCAACAGGACCCTGCAGAGAGGGGGGTCTCCATCAGTACTTGTTGAAAATCTGAATGTAGCTTGATTTGACAGAGAGTCAAAGAAGTTGTATCTCTCCTGGGCTAAAGAAGTTCTAGATCATAACAGGTTCAGCTTTTTAATGAGTAACATCATAGGGCATATATTAAGGAAATGATTGCTTTTTGTGTAAAGATAGCCAAAACCCAAATAGCTACAATCCCTGGGTCTCTGAAGAGTCTTAAAAGATCACTAGACTGGACCACCACTCTGAGAAGTGGTTATTCTTCCATACAAATTTAATGCCATATATCTGACTTTCTAAAGCTGTAGGATTTTTATAATTTAGTAATATTTATCTTTTGCCTCTGAAGACGTATTGGTTGGGCTGATGCTCTGTTCACCCCAGGGAGCAGCATCCCCAGAAAATGCAATGTCCCTGGTCTTTAAACTACAGCTCCTCTGACCAAGGCATGCACACTGGCATCTCTTTTCTTTTTTCCTTACTGGTTCTGATTTAAAAACCTAACCAACCAACCACTTTTGCTAAGTGTTTTCTCTTTTGATTGTGTTACATGTTCCCTGTTTCTAAGCAAGGTGTTTGAAGACACGGTCTCCTTGCTGCCCAAACTCAGAAATAAAAGAGATTCGGGTGGTAAAAATTGTTTCTCTCTCTCTCTCTCTCTCTCTCTCTCTCTCTCTCTTTCTCTCCCTCCCACTGGCTCTCTTTTCTAACGATGTTGGGAAACTGAATCCAGGGCTTCTCGCATGTGAGGTATGTGCTCAACCATCAAGCTACATCAGTATGCTCTGACTAAGATTTTGAGTAAAGATCTGACTTACTTAGTCTTATGATCCAGTGGGTTTACGTCACTTTCAAATGACAAATTTGTAAATTCACTAATCAACATAGCAGACACTCATGCTTCAACCATCTGGCTTTTCACCTCAGCCCCCTAATTTTGAAGGGTCAGGTCAAGCAACAGCACCTGGCACTTCCTGACTTTGCCTCTCACAATCAACTATGAGAAACACAGTTGAATCCTTGGATTAAGGTGAGACCAACAAGGCCACAGGATTTCTCTGATGTGCATAGCTTTGACGTGAACCCAGGCCCACTCTTCACCCTGCTGTGGCCAAAACAAAGCTAGATGCAGGAAACTTCAAAAGGCTATCTCTAATTAGCGTGTGCAACTCCAATAGACGGTATTCTCCAAACACAGCCCAGCCACATGCTCTTTGAGGTGGAATCTCTTTCCACTCCTTTAAAACTGGGTAGATCTCTGTAGCTGCCTCAGAAACTGGGGTATGGTGGAACTGATATTAGAAATTCAGGGCCTGGGTAACGTAGGAAAACACAGCTTTGGCCTGGCTCTCTTACTGTTGAAATGCTCACCCTGGAAAGTCAACCATTATGCTAGAGGAAACCCAAAGTAGGCCACACAGACAGACTACTTGAAGAGGCCCTTGTGGAGAGGGGTGGAGGCAACTGTCAATCATTCTGCTGAGGTCCTAGACATCCTGGAGCAGAGAGGGGCCACCCCACTGTGCCTGTCCATAACTCAGGTTCACAGAACCCAGGTGCACAATGAATGGTTGTTTTGTGTCATGAAGTTCTGAGATAATTTGTTACATAGCCACACATGATGATGGGTTAGATACCTCCCAACTGTCTGTTTCATCAAGAAAATTCCAGAAATGTAAACCTACCTATGAGTGTTCTGAGGAAAATACCCTGCTGGCAGCTGTTTGCATTACCCGCCTCTCTCTAATATAGAGGTGATAGTTTATCCCTGTCCTGGCCAAGTTCTTTCATTTTCACGGAGATTCAACCCTGCCTTCAAAGTTCAAGCATCTGTATATGCCCTTATTGGCTGTTTGTAAAACATACTAAAATTCATTTGTATAAATTAATATTTATGAAAGATTGCCTAAAGACTTAATTTCCTACATTCTCTTAACATGATGTTGCTAAATTTTAGACCTGATCAATCCAACATACTCAATTTGGCTTTCACATAGGTGCCTTTACTGAACTTCAGGAGGGATGGTGTGTTTAGCCCCAACCTGAATAGCAGACACTGGAAGAAAAGCCACATAAAACATTATATCACTTTTACCATGAGACATGGTTGTGGACAAGGTTCTGTACATTTACACCCTTTTAAATGAGGACTTTCTACAACAGATCTCCTTTCGAAATGAGTGCCAGAAAAAAACCTACATCTCTCATGAGCAATTGAAACATTTTTAGGAATAGCATGTAATGAATGAATATAAATTCATCTTCAAAAACTAAGGTTTTTCATGAACTCTATCCCTGGCTTATTTTAGCATTCTACACTTTGTTTCCCCTTGTACCTGCTTTGCTTTGTTTGTGATCATTCTGTTCTACATACATTCCCCACAAGCCCACTTGGAGTAAGAGGTAGGCTTTTTCTAGATTTGTGAATGGACCCTTCCGTTCTTGTACACACAGGCATGACTGACAAGTGAATTCTACAAGTCCCTATGACTTGACAGAAACACACAGAACTCCCTAAAAACACACAGACTCACACTAAAACTATAAGTTATATTTATCTATTAACCATGTTGCAAAGCTTGACTAATCTAGTTGGAGTAAATGACTTATCTTAAGGACATAATTTCTCTGTCTTCCTCTTTCTTTAGTTGCCATCCATTACTCTGTGTGTCCCCAGATAACTCTGAAAATCTCCTCAAGGGAAACAAAGCTGTAAACAGGACCTGAAGTTAACCTCAGAGTCTCATCACTAGCTCATGATTAAAGTCAACACTCAAAGGCTATTGCAGGGTGCTTGTCACACAAGTGTGTACACTTTCTGGAATTAAAAGAAAAAAAAGAGAGAGACCAACTAACTGCTTGTCAGCAAATCCTCAGCCAGTTAATCCTGCACAATCTGGGCTACAGCCCATCTCAGTCTCACAGCAGCAGAGGGTGGAGCTCCCCGAGTCTCATCTGCAGGGCTCCCACGGCTTGGCTGAGTCACTATTCCCTTTTTCTCTTCCTGCTAAACTCAACCTCACTGACAGGCATCTTCGTAAGTCATGGCCACAGTCACACTCCTGGGAGCCCCAGTGAGTCAGAAAGACAAACACCAAGGGGTGACAGGGATCAGAGCTTCCAGAAAGACCACATAAATCAATGCAATCCCCTGTTAGTCAAGAAACAGAAAACAGCCAAACCACTCATATCTGTCAGAAGAAATCACTGGTGGGAACTGAATCCTATTCTCGACAGAGGCAGCCAGGAGGACCATCACAGGGGCTTACAATGAGCAGCCTCTGCAGTAACAGAAACCTGAAACAGAAACACGCCAACCTGGCACAGATAAGACGGCACTTCAGGTTGGGTTACACCTGCAGAGCCACAGCTACAACTGCATGTCTTCATTAACATCATTGCGTGGTTGTTCCAGGATTGCCAATTTTGTTTGCTTGTTTGTTTTGGGAGCTGGGGATGGAACCCGGGGCCTTGCCCATGTGAAGCACCTGCTCCATCACTGAGCTGCACTCTCAACTTTGATTGCACATTTTGATTTCTGTCACTTAACGTAGAATACAGTTCAAGATAGGACATCTGTGTTTTATCAAACATATGAACAATATTTTGTGCCATGATTTTTATATGCAAGTAGGCACTTAGAGTAAATGCCTTCTTCTGTGTATTAGCTACTCAGAAAACATGCTTGCACACCAGCCCCCCAGCCCCACTTTCAACAAGGCAAATCTCTACCCAGAATGGGATTAATTTGGTCATCTAACAATTAATATGGCAGTTGTGCTGACTTCTTTTGGCTTTTCATTAATTTTTTTCCATGCAAATAGGGGACCTTAAATCAAGTTTCTTGCACAAAGAGCCACAACTACAATGATGGGAAATGCCTGTCCCTCAGTTTCAGGATCACATTGAGGCATTGATCTCCAGACCAGCAATGGAGCTCCCTGGTGCCCCAGGCTCCTGCTGTATGCTTTCCTGAACCTCAGCTTGGTGACTCCCTCAGCACCATGTGAAGCAAGACTTGGTCATTTTTATCCCTTCTTCCTTTTGCCATTCCTCCCTCCCTCTGTTCTTCCTTCCTTCCTTCTTTTCTTCCTTCCTTCCTTCTGTCCCCTCTCTCTTCTTCCTGCTTTCCTCCTTTCCTTCTTCCCTCCTTCCCTTCCCCTTTTCTTCTCACCCCTATTCTTTTGTTTCCTATTCCTATTCTTTTATTTTCTATTCCTATTCTTTTATTTTCTCTTTCTTTCTTTCTTTCTCTTTCCTCTCCCTTCCTTTCCCCTTTGCTTCTTTCCTTCCTTTATTCTTTTCTCAACCTGAGAAATAGATGAAGATTAAATCTTTGTCTAATGTCACACAGAGAATGAGTGGAAAACTTAAATTTAAACTCAGGTCCTTCTCTCTCCAGCTGTGAGAACTGGAAACTTAAGTCCCTTCAGGTACCAGTGCAGGGCACAAAAAGCACTGCAGCCACAGGCATTTAGCATAGTGTCAACTCTATTCAAGTTGTCACTGTGCTGAGGACACACCATGGTGGACAGGAAAGTTCCTTGATCTGCAGGCCCCAATAGACATGAGACCCTTTCTCACAGAGCTGCTGTGGGACTCAGAAGGCGACTGCTCTGTGACTATTTCCTAGGCACTAGTAGGCTGCTAGCCTTTTTTGACAATGGATGCTGGTGATCATGGACCAATCATTTCTCTAAAGAATGGGAAGTTCCAGGGAGATTCATACTGCCAAATCTGTCAACAACATGAAAGCCACCCTTCTATAATATGAGTAAGAGCATTCAAAATGGCTACACAGATGAGTGGACAACAATTTTGAGGCACTTTTCGGGAACACACTTACTTACCTTCTATGGCCCTAGTAGAATGTAAGGCACTTCGATACCAAAGTACGATGTCGATCTTAAAATTGTTGTAGATGCACACAACAGACACCACCAAAACTGCCAAGGTGATAAGCCCTCCTATCAAGTAAGCCCGAAAATCTGGAGCTACAGATGACAGCAAAATAATAATAATCAAAGAGTCAATTATATCCTTTACATGTATAGATCACATTAGAAATACCAGATGGAAGTATGTGAAACATCAGTGTGGACACTGCTGAAATAGTTCTTGAAAGTTAAATAATAGGCACAGGAGTACTATAATCTGCTTTGGACCATGATTTTAGGATACAAGTGGGCTCTTGGGAACCCAGAGCCCTGCAGAACACCGCAGTCCTCGAACTGCACAAGGCCTGCTTTCAAAGTACATGGGTCCAGGTTCTACTCAGTCATCCTGACCGTCCTGAGGTGAGCCTGGCCTTGTTTCTTTAGAATGGTCCCCAGGTAGTTCCACTGCCCACTCTTGATCACAGTCCTTTGTGCTGCCTCTCCAGTTCCCAAAACCGAGCAGCAGGACTCCTGTCATAAAGAAAGAGCTATTGGCTGTCTCCCTGGAAACCATTTATCTGACTGCACAAAACAGGCAGAGAGAATCAGACCCTCACCCAGTCCTCTTGGGCCATCAGAGTCCAAGTTGAGTGTCTATCTGAGAGACAGTCCCCCAAAGCACGTGCATGGCCTGCCCTGCTCACAAGCACACTGCAGGGCAGTGATGAGGGTGGGCAGTGGGCTGGAGACAACCACAGAACAGACCCTGTTCCCCTGGAACTTGAGTACCCGAAACCACTCCTACACACTGAAAAGAGGAACTGCATGACTTGCCACATCCCAAACCTATGCCCCCAAAGAAGGAAGTTCTAGGAAGGTGGGAATCAAAATGGGAACAGCGAGAAAGGTAGAGAAATACTCCCTGTTCCTAGAACTCACCTCACTAGCCACGTCCTTTATCCTCCCTTCCTGATCCTCCAAGCCTCACTCCATGATGGGATAGAGGAAGGAGGGGAATACCAGAGGATGCTTTTTTCTGAACTATCAGAGCACTTTCATTTTTTAAAATATTCATCAAGCTCCTTGATGAATTTGCCCCAGGCCACACCACATTGTAAACATGGTGAGACCCAAGACTTCCTGTTTACAATTGCGTGTTTTCACATCCATGGCCTGACAAAGCACAATAAGGAAAAATGAACTTGGTGCCCCTCCCAAATAAATTATACATAATGAATAAGTTCAAGTGCAGCCAGATGGAGCTGCTTCACACACCGGGGCCCAGTCTGAGCCCTTGTGATAACCTGTGGCTTCTGAACCTGAGATGGATCGCCTTCTCACAATCTTCTACTTCTTTTTGCCAGTTGTTATCACTCACTGTTGTTTGACCAACAATACCACCTCTTCCTTTGGGAGGACTCATGTCTGGGGAGAGTTAATGTATATTTCAGAACTTTTTTTTTTTTTTGCAGTATTAGGGATTGAACTCAAGGCCTTATGCTTACTAGTACTCTTTCTGAACCACAAACCCCAGTCCTTTTGCATTTAGTTTGCCTTTCAGATATGGTCTCACACTTTTGCCTGGGCATGTGCCACCACACCTGGCTCAAAGATCTTGATATTACAAATGATCAAGACAGAAAGACTATGCCCACAATATTTATGAGATTCAAAGAGCCCCTGGCAAGTAGACAGGAATGATGTTCTGAAATTCTTAAGTTTACCACTCATTGCATTCAGGAATATTGATATCCTCTACTCTATAAATGAGCTATAAAATGATGACATTGGAGTTGGGTCATTACTGGATAAGTTCAAAGGCAGTAAGGATGTTTAAATAGAAATAAATGGAAAACTCACTATTGATATACTTAGATACTTGCCATTTGAGACCATGTGATTACCATCAGCCTTCAACTGAGATGGTAGGTGAAGGCGATTAAACGAACTCCACAGGGGGTACATCCAATCTAGACAACTTTCTGTGGCCTTGCTTCAGACAAACCAAATAAGATTCAAATCTAGAGGTGTCTTCAAAAAAAATGAGGAAGTCAAATGGAGAAGATAAATCTTGACTCTGCCCCCAAGGAAACCAACAAGAAGCTTAGGTTTAAGAGGGTAGTGTTCCTAAGAACCCAGAGCAAACAAAACAAAGTGCACGTGACCAAAAATACATTGCATGTGAGCTGAGATGAGTGTTGGTAGGAACCAAGATGGATTTAGTAAGCAAGAGCTTCTCACCAGTCTGAATAATGGGACAAAGGAGCCTTCCTCTTTCCACATGATTGACAGGTGTTAACTGGTTACATTATTTCCTCTGGGCCTGGGCTTGCCCTGAGAATTCTTCTGAGCACAGCACTTGCATGTGGTCCATACACAGTAGTGAGTATTGGCAAAGAAATCTATGTTGGCCAGCTTCAGACTAGATTACTACATAAAGCACTCAATCATACAGGCTGAGACAAATCTAAATTGTGATCACGTCAGGTGTCATGAAATCTCCAAGGTGTTCTACAGTCTCTTGGGTTGTACTCTCTAGCCTAAAGCAGGCAGCATTTCTGCTGGAAGCTATTACAGTGCCAAAAGGGAGGAGGTTATGCCCTGCTTCCTGGTTGAAAACCCATCCTGGCCTCACTGGCTTCGAAGTCACCTCCTTTGTCAAAATATGGGATCCACAGAAGATCCTTCTTTGTTTCTCATCTGACTCTGTTCTGTAAAGCAAAGGAGATGACCAGGGGCTGAATGGGAAGAGGCAGATCAGGGAGTTCCTGAATGCCAAGCCAGGGGTTGGCATTTCATTCCAGAGGAAGAGAGGACGCACTAATGTCCACACAGGGGAGTGGCAGAATTATAACCATCCTTAGATAACCACAACAATCACTGGAAGATATTAGACCAAGAAAGTTCTCCAGGCAAGGACACCATTTAGAAAACTGATATAATCACCAAAATAGCATAAAATTAAGGCCAGAACTAGGATAGTACTAATAAAAAGCACATTTTAGAACTCACTAAATGACAGGCTCTATGCTTGCTTTGCAAAATTATCTCATTTGATTCTCTCATACACTACTGGGGGTAGGAATAAATTGGAGAACAATAAAGATTATATAGAATAACTAATGACAGGATCTCATTTGGCAATTCCACCTCCAATAATATATCATAGAGCAATGCTTTTACATGGCTACCAGGACCCAAGTAGAGGAATTTTCATAGTGACATTATTTGTTAATCTCAAACTGAAAACAACTCAAATGATCACACAGTTACAGTAGAGTGGATAAGTGGTGACCTAGTTGCTCAAGCAAATAGGATTCAGCAATGAGAATAAATGAACAACAGCTGTATGCTACGTCACTGCTGTGCCAGAAGACTCCATGAACCTAAGAGGCAAATAATAGAAAAAAATTATCTAAGTCTCTGAATATAAAACCACAAAACTAAATTGTGTTTTTAGGGATTTCGACATGGATGGAAAAGCAAAGAAATGACTTTCCTGAACGTTAGAGAAGCTGTCTAAAATGAAAAGAGACACTTTCATCAGGAAGGACTCACAGGGGCTCTTCAGGTCTGGTAGTGTTTATTTTCTTAGTGTAGGTGATAGTTTTATGTTTATTTTTCTTATAATATTTTGTTATATGATATACATACATGCGCCCTTTCTTAGAAGTATGTTAGGTTCACAAGAAAAAAGTAAGAAAATAGTATTTTTCTATCAACAATCCTCTCTGGAAGATACTGTTACCCAATTTTACAGATAAGAACACTTGAGTACAGAGGGGCTGAGAGACAGTGCTGCAGACACATAGCTCACAAATGGTAAAGCCAGTATCTGAACCTGGACACCTGGATCTTAAAGTCCTCAGTTAAAACCATTCCACCATGTTAATGAAGTGGAGAAAAGGGGACAGATGTGGCTGGTGGTTCCTGTGGAGGAAGACTCTATATAATTCAGCGGTTAATTGGGCACTGTCATGAGGGAAGAAGAGGAAAGGATTGAGATGACACCCAGATTTTGAACCTGAATTACCTGGAAGACATTGGGCTTCCATTAGCAAAGGAAAAAAATAAAAAAAAGCAGAGCCAGAACCAGGAAGCTTGAGAGCTTGAGAGAATAAACATGCTTTCAAACTTAAGCTGATGTATCTGCAGTCCAGCACACAGCTGGAAAGGGAGGGCTACCATGTGGAGAGACAGAACTTATTAGTGATTGGAATCTGTTTGTACTTGCATAAGGATGACGGTAAAAACCATAGAGATGGGAAGAAAGAAAAGCAGCAAAGAACTCCCAGAGGCACTGTCCAGAGGTGGGTGCACAAGATCGACGGGGGGAAGGTGGAAAAAACAATGAGAAGAAGAAAAAACAGGCAGTGGAGACAGAAGGGTCTAAGACTCCTCCCACCCAATGCAGCCATGAGGGTCTATAGGGGTCCAGAGTGAGGAAAACAGCTGTTGTCTGCTTTGATCCCAGGTGATGCAACTGGGGACAAAGTGACCTTGGCCTCTAGGTCACAGAAGTGAGGGAGAAAACGTGCACACCCACAACTGAAAGCTGCTGTAGACAGGTCCCTATCCATAGCTACTGGAAGGGAGGTCATAATCCCCTGGTGTGCTATGACTTTAAAGCCATACTCCAGTTTCTGATTTCACCCTCCTCTCTCATCTCTGGCCTTATTACTTCTGAAGGAAAACAGTTCTGTACAGTGTTGGGTGTAGTTTAGGTACACACTTGGAGTTGGAAGCGCTCCTATTCAAATATCAGAATTATAGATAATTTTGAAAAGTTACATGTCAAAACTATACAAAAACATTTTATATGTATATCAAATTATAATAAACCATCTAAAATTTGAAAATCACAAATAATTGACTATAAAAGTTAAGCAACTGGGTTTATTAAGGGAAAACTATTCTCTAGGACTTTCCTGCATACAATCTTAATGTACCTGAATATGGCACAAAATTCTACCATAGAATCTCAGTCTTACTCCAAGAAATGTATCTGACGTAGCACCAGGCTTTTGTTAACTCTCACATCAGGGTTCTGCATTCAATACCACTCTCTGGTCTCACACCAAGCCTGCATTTCTGGTGATCACTTTGAGTGCTCTGAACAGCTTGTGACATACTGAGCATTACCTGGGAGCGTTAACACAACGTATGCAGCAGACACTCCAGCGTGACACACGAAAGGAATGCCATAATCTTCCATTTTCACTTCTAAGAAGGTTATGTTTACTGTATAAAAAATGTGGTCCTTAAAAGAAACATTGGTCCTATAAAAGAAAATATAACACATGAGTCATATTTGCCCACAATAATTTGTTTTTTTTTTAATTTTTATTGTTTTATTATTCATATGTGCATACAAGGCTTGGGTCATTTCTCCACCCTGCCCCCACCCCCTCCCTTACCACCAACTCCACCCCCTCCCTCTCCCCCCCACCCCCTCAATACCTAGCAGAAACTATTTTGCCCTTATTTCTAATTTTGTTGTAGAGAGAGTATAAGCAATAGTAGGAAGGGACAAGTGTTTTGCTGGTTGAGATAAGGATAGCTATACAGGGCATTGACTCACATTGATTTCCTGTGCATGTGTGTTACCTTCTATGTTAATTCTTTTTGATCTCACTTTTTCTCTAGTTCCTGGTCCCCTTTTCCTATTGGCCTCAGTTGCTTTTAAGGTATCTGCTTTAGTTTCTCTGCGTTAAGGGCAACAAATGCTAGCTAGTTTTTTAGGTGTCTTACTTATCTTCACCCCTCCCTTGTGTGCTCTCGCTTTTATCATGTGCTCAAAGTCCAATCCCATTGTTGTGTTTGCCCTTGATCTAATGTCCACATATAAGGGAGAACATATGATTTTTGGTCTTTGCCCACAATATTTATAATCGTTATTCTGGAGATAAAGTGTTCTTCCTTAGAGAACAATGTGGATCATAGATCTACCCTACAAATACGTCACTAAGTAGCTCAATGAGATGTATAGATTATGTAGATACAAATTTGCATTTTCTTCTGGACAGATGAAAGAAGTGTGGGTCAGTTAACCACAGACCCCACCCCCAGCCTGACAGGCCTCTGCAGGCATCAGAGCTCATCCACACTGCAAGGCCCAACCCAAGTTGTGTCTTCTGATACCACTAGTCCTGTTTTCACACCACTCAAATTATAGCACCATAAATTGAGTTTGTGCCACTAGGTTTGGTAGCGACTATGACCTCTCCCTGCCACGTTGGGCTTGTTTTGCAATTTAAGCCTTGAAGGCCTGTGGTTCATGATATAAGTAAAAGGTTACATCACTTGTTTTGTACAGCAGCTGAAAGAAGTAGGTGCCATTTACGGAAGTCACACTCCATGTTTTGCTGCATGTCCCTAATTACATTTTGGTCACTGATAAACATGAAAATCTCACACTTCTCTGAGCTAGATGCTTGACCACACATCACTCACAAAGATCACTGAAAGACAGAGGCAAGAGCAGTATTGAGAAGACAGTGGGACCAGTCCATGAAAACCAGTAGTTTTAATCCACAAATTAATGTGGATGGAGAAATTCTTGCTGAGCTTATGGGGTTTTCTTGTTTTTGTTTTTGTTTTGTGGTACTGGGGATTGAACTCTCTTGCTGAGTTTAGAGAAGCCAGGAGAACAGAGCACCTACTCGATTCCTTCTCTGATGCGTTTGGTGTTGTTGTAGTAATCATCCACCAGAGTGCTGTTGACTCTCCAGCATCGTAGGTTTGTATTCTCCTTTGTGTCAGTTATTTTGCAGTCCACAATGAGGGGGGATCCTACAGCAGTCAAATTAAAAACATATTAAAGAAAATTCTACAAATTTTCAGCTACTCAAATTGGTTACAAATGCGCCTTGCTTTTGAGCCTTGAATATCTTTTGATAACAAGAAAAGCCACAGGTCAATGTTAATCTACTTTATCCTCTCTTAGAACAGTGGGATGGGTGGTCTTCCAGGCTATGCTTGGCAAAGAGATTTGTATATACTGTTAACTTCACATGAATGTTTTCTACAGTCAAGATACAAATACTACTCCATGTCCAGTGACATCAGCAAAGATTTCTCCCTTTGTCTTCATATCTTTGAGACAATCCAACAAAGTAGAACAAGGGAGGTGTTATTATGGGTGAGAAAGTTGAAGTTCAGATTGTGTGATTTGCCCAAAGTCACGTGGGAATTAGGGGAACATGAGTCATGAACTTGTGTGTCTTTCTAAATCCAGGGATATTTCAACTTCAACATGCATGACCCCCATATTCTTCCTCCTCCTTCCCTTTCTCCTGCCTCCACACATTCACAAATCATGTTTAATAAGTCTGTATTTAAATTTATTTTACCCCATAAGTCTAATAGATCCTATTTCAAGTTTCAGAGAGCTTTCTTTATCCTAGCTAGTATTTTTTTTAATTTGCTGAAGTTTGAAATATAGCACACATATAGTAAAAAAAGAGAATGTAATTGTAAAGTTAATGAATTGTGATAAAGCAAATATCCATACCACCTTCCATTCATCAGGAAAATAGCATATTTTCAGAAGCTCCAAAGCTTTCCATATACCCCTTCCCTACATTTTTCATTTATTTATTTACTCATTTATTTAGGTGGTACTAGGATTTGAACTCAGGGCCTCATGCTTGGTAGGCAGGCACTCTACCACTTGAGCCACTCCATCAACCCTGTTTTGTGTTAGGTATTTTTCAAGGGACTGAAGAATAATTTTCCTAGTTTGCTTCAAACCTCAATCCTTTTGATCTCTACCTCCTGAGTAGCTAGGATTACAGGAATGTGCCACTGGTGTCCAGCTCTTTTGTTGTCTTTTAATAAACAGACACTTCTTTTCTTTGGCTATGTTGTGATTTGAACTCAGGGCCTCTTGCTTGCTAGGCAGGTGCTCTACCACTTGAGCTACACCCTTTTTCCCTTTTTGTGTTGGTTACTTGTTTTTAACTCACTTTATGCACTAGCTGGCTTGGATCACGATCTTTCTATTTGTGCTTCCCCATGTAGCTGGAGTGACAGGGTCCACCACCCCATGTCCCACCATTGGTTGAGATGGGGTCTCACAAAGTTTTTTTGCCCAGCGGTCCTTGAACTGCAGTCTTCCTGATCTCTGCCTCCAAAGTAGCTCAGATTGGAGGTTTAAGGCACCACACTCAGTTTCAGAAACTTACTTTTAATGCTGTCATATTTATCAATTTTTCCTTCGCAACTAGTATTCTGTATGTCTCCACTTAAAAATTGTTTTCATTACTCCAAAATCATGAAGTTGTTTTTTTAGAAATGTATTGTTTTAACCTTCATGTTTAGGTTGACAGTGCACATGGGAATATTTTTATATAACATGAGGAAAGGGCTGGCTTCATTTTATTCTACATTACATCCAATTTTCCAGTATCATTTATTGGAAAAATTGTACATTCCCTGCTTTGCTATAGTGTCTTTGTCAAAATCAAATACCTACCAGATGCAGGCCTATTTCTGTTCTTTCATTTCTATGCTTTCCTTGTACCAGTAGTAGACTGTTTAAATTATCAGCGCTTTCTAAAAATTATTGAAATCTAGTAGTGTAAGTCCTTCAATCTAGTTCTTCCTCACAGAAATTAGGTGACTATTCTAAAACTAAGAAAATGCTAGAGGGCTGGGTGCTGTGTCTCCTGCCTGTAATTCCCGCCTATAATTCCTATAAGCATGGGAGGCACAGGTAGGAGGATCACAGTCTGAGAGCAGTCTCAGGCAAAAAGCACAAGTCCCAATACCACAACAAAAAGATCTGTCTTGATATTGATATGACTATACCAGCATTTTAGCTAGTTTTAATGTCCTATCTCATTTTCTAACCTTTGTCTCCAAGCCTCTTGTAAACAACACAGAGATATTTTTTTATTTTTTAAACCATTTTTATTTGGAGTATTTCAGTCATTTGTAATTAATGGCATATATATGTTTACCTCAACTGTCACATATTTTCTACATATTAATCTGTCCCACATTTGTGTTTTCCTTATCACCATTTTTGGAGTCTTTCTTTGTATTCCTTCTTGGCTATGATTAAATTATTTTTAGTAATACATTTAAACATGTGTTTTAAAAATTATTATTCTTTTAAGGATGCTCAAGGTATTAAAACATGTATGTTCAGACTAATCAAAGCCTGAGATCATTGATATTTTTTACCCCCTTCAACAACACAAGATTCATGCAATGCATTTTCATTTATCCTTCCCCCTACCTATTTTTGCAAATATTGTGCACTTTGATTTCACATTCCATGAACAATCATCATTGCTCTATGCAGCCAAGATGCATTCAGATTGACTCCCATATTTACAGCAATATTTGCTTCTTCGTTCTCCCTCCACATTGCTGATTTACTACCTGAGAACATTTTCCTTCTATCTGAAGAACAACCTAGTATTTCCTTGATGTAGGATTGTGAGTGACAAATTTTGTCATTTTTAGTTTGCCATACTTTCACTGGTTATGAAGTGTGTCCTAGAAAAAGGAAATTGGGTGCCTTGCAGATGAGGCAAGACCACCCAATTAAAAGATGGACCTTCCCCTACATGTAATTTCCTGTGGTAACTGTGTCCCAAGTGAAAACAGGTGAAACACAGCCTGATGGGATTAAGAACAAAGCCAGAGAAAGCATATTAGCACCTCAATAATATATGATTATTTCAGCCACATAAAAAATTATACTAACTTTGAAAGTTTATTTTGTACTGAGATAAAACTTACTGAATGATTGTCAGGGATTTATAGGCTTTTAGATAATTTTGTTAAAATTTCTTAGTAGATATCCATAGATCATTTAAAGATAATTATAATTTATCTTCCTCCTTAAAGTTTCCTCCTTTTAATCGACTACGTGTATTGGCTAGGATTTCTAAAGAAAGGAGTGGGGATCACACTGGGTTAGGAAGTGTAGCAACTAACTTGTCTTTCCAGGGGTTTATGATATCTACAAGAGTACCCACATGGAGAGTGATATGTGTACAAGTATCCATCACTATAAGTATTCATATTCACTTGACCATTTAAAGGAACTCCTAAAAATATATGACCTATGACCTTTAAATCAGATTTCATCTCCTTACCATTTGCTCTTTCATAAGCATTCACAGTTTTAAATCTTATGTTTGGGTTTCTCTGCATTTCAGAGATTAGATATGCTCAAAGTTTACCTATCAACTCCCAACAACCAACACCATCACACACCTCAACTCTTTTACCCCTGAGCCAACTATGCACTTGCCACTCTAATTTTTTCTTTGAATAAATTCATTATGTTTTTGCTTTCATTTTTGTTGCATAGCTGCTCTTTTCTTAGAGAGTTAAATGGTTATGTATTTTAATTATTTCTACACTTATTTTTAATAATAGTTAAAGATATAAACTGGTTTAGGGTGAAGCACTGATCACATGCCATCAAGTTTGACATGAAGTATTCTCACTGTCATTATTTTCTAGCCTATTGCTTTGGTGTAATCTCTAAAAGAGAAAGCAAATAACTAGAAGGTAGATTTGTTCTTGTTTAATTTTTCTTTCTTTAAAATTTTTTAAAAAGTTAATTAACAAATAATAATTATATATGTTTCTGGAATACAATGTAATATTTTAATTATAAATTTATATAATGGAATAATTAAATCAAGCTAATCAATAAATCCACCACTCACATCCTAATGATAGAGAATTTTCTCATTGTTTTGGTTATAAATTTCTAGATTTACTGCCCTGTGGTTGTACCATCTGTTCTGTACAATTTCTTCCTTTGGAGGAGGAACTCTGCATTTTACAGATGTTTATAAGATTGGTCTATTAAATAGATTATTCTTATATTACACAAATCTTTTGGATTCTTATTTGCCCAATAAATCTGTCAGAGCTGGAGTATATTAAAATCTCCTACTGTAACTGTATTTTCTTATTCTCCTGAAATAATTGTACTGCATTGTTCTTGTATTTCTGAGACTTTCAGCTTTATATATTTTGAAGCACTGCTGTTGAATACATGAAAATTTATGTCTTATAGGGACTGAGGGTGTCGTTCAGTGGTAATGCATTTGCCTAACAAGCACAAGGCCCTGGGTCCCAGCACCACAAGAATTTGTGTTTTGGGAAGTGTTACAATTTTGATTATCATAAAATGATCCAATTTGCCATTTAAATTTTTGCCCTAGCAAAATTATTATTAGACTGAAATCACCCAGTCTTCTTTTTTATGTTAATTTTTATAAGTGATATCTTGCTTATACAAAGTCTTGCATTTTTACGTATGTATTTTTTAAGAAGCACATGAAGCTGGATTTATAAAATCCAACTGGATTTTAGTATTCAATTTAATCTGAGCAGTTATTTTTGCATTTTTTCCAGAAGATACTCTATGTGAGTTTTCATTTTATTTTAAAAAACAATTTGAGCTAATTTTTCTCTACTTAGTTCACAAACTGAGGCAACCTTTTTGTTCCTTTCCTATATAAATGATCATATTTCCTACTCCCTTAATGTGTTTCCCAGTATGAGATGAAATAATTCAGAATTCCTGATCAACATGACTTAATAGCAGTTTTATGTATTATCTTTTTCAGGAATTATTTTTACATTTTCATCACCCTTGCACAAACAAATCTGCAGTACTCATTGAGACCCATAGAGCTCATTGCCAGAACTCCAGGACCGCAACTTGGCCAAGCTTTGACTCTGCTGGTTTTCATCTTGCTACCTTTCCTGATGAGCTCAGGTGTATCCAACGTGGATGTCTATGGGTCTGTCTTCACTCTTGAAATTCAACATGTTCACTAGAATATATGGACATACTGAGCTCTTCCCTTGGTGATTTCAGTGCCTCGGGTGCCTTTACTTACCTAGTTTCACTTCAATGGAGTTGTTTTCTGGATAAATGATTTTAGGGATTCTTCCTCCACTTCCAGCTCTTTCTGCTAAGAAATCATGCCCACAAAAACTGCATTAGGACCGCATGTGACACACTGTCAAGTACCTTATGAGATACTGTGATTCACGGCACAGAGCAGACCTTCTAAAAACATTGGTCAAGAACATTAAAAACCCAGGGTGGGACAGAATATCACTGCACAAGTGCATTTTTTTTCTCCAACTGCAATTAACTGAATTGGTGAGGGAAAAAAAAACAAAGGAAAAAACAAAACCTACAACTTGGTATAATAAAACTTCATTTATTGGCAATCTAAATATACTTTTCAAGCACTGCCCATCAACAAAGCTCTGGCTGAGGTCTGAGGGAGAGAGGACCGATTACCCTAACTTACTATTACCTTCAGTTTCACGCCTCCCTCTCCAACCCTGCATTTCCACATTCTTTTAATCCTTTCTGCTCCTGTATTCTCCAGCTCTTGCATCCCCCCCTCCCTTATGACTGTCTTCCTGTCCTTCAGTCTTTCTCTACTCCTCCCTTCCTCACTTGTCCACCAAAATTTAGCACTCACTTACTTAGTCCTATATATTTAGAGTGGAGTATGAAAAAAGTTTTCAGAGGGAAGCTAGGAGAAATAGAGAAATACTTGTCCTTTATGATGGTTATAATATGTATGCATTCTACTAATTACTGTAACTCAGTATTCCCAAATAAAAGTGATCACCAGCTAGTCAATGGACCACCACCCACTAAACCACACATATGTAAAATCTGGAAGTCATTCTAGGCCACAGCTTTTCTCTCATCCTCTTTAACTTATCAATCACCAAACCCCAAAATATTTACCTCCTAACATTTTGCAGTCTGTGCTCCTAATTCCTATTCTTTTTTCCTAGGCAATCTCATCCACACTCAATCTTTAATTACCATCTAAAGCTCGATGACTTTGAAAGTCTTATCTCCAGCCCTTCCTCTAAGCTGCAGACCCACGTAGGCCATGGTCTATTCCACATTCTTCCTTTGGATGTCTCAAAAGCACCTCACACTCAACCTGCAAATGACCAAACTCATGATTTCCCTCCACATCTGTCTTGTTTCAGTGACTAGCATCACTATTCAGTCAGCATATGCCCAGAGGCCTAAAAGCCTTGACCCACCATATCCCTCACTCTCCAAATTCAATTTAACCCTCAGACCAGTGGAGTTTTCCTCTGAAGTTTCCTTGAATGCATTCAGATCTTTCTCTCTTCATTTTACCACATTACCTGTGCCTACATGTTCTCACCTGCACTTTTGCACCCGCCTCCTAACCACTCTCCTGCCTCTGCTATTTCAGAAATGAAATCATGCCATGTTACTCTCCTGTTCTCAACCCCTCTGACTGCTTACCATTATTCTTAGAATACACTTCACACTACCCAATTTGGATTTCATGTTCCTACCCGACCTTGACCCCTAACTATTTCCCCAAACTCAACACCCACCATTATCTCCCCAGCTCAGCACTGCTCCAATCCAACTGGCCTACTTTTCCTCCTTCAGATACAACATGCTTCCTCTTCTTCCAGGGCCCTCGTATCTTCTGTCTAGAAATATCTTGCCCAGTCCATCTCTCAGTGACTGCTTCCTGACCATCACCCTGACTATTATCCAAGGTTTTCCTTAACCACTGCCTTTTCAATTGATAACTGCCTCTTTGATCTTTCCTAGCTTGCATGAATCATCCCTATGTGATACCTCTCACTGGTGCATTATCAGTTGCCTCTGCCTCCCCTCTCTCTCACACCTCAAGCTTCAGGGCAGTGGACATGGCTGAGTAGGTCTTAAAAGTATATAACAGATGAAACTTACAAAAGCTTGGGTATATGATTAAGTTGACTGTAATCTAACAGTTACCTAAAAGATTTTCTAGGGTCATGTTAAACTAAAATTTGATTCTCTATGTCCATAAAATAACAACACTCTCTTAACATTGTTCTGCTCTGAGTAATATCTGTAAAAAACTGTCATAAAAAAATGACTCGTGCTTTCTGTTGATCTTACCAAACTTTTAAATACTTAAAAAACTAAACCTTAACTAAATCAGAGTTCATTTAAATATCTGTTCATATAAAAGTCTCTTAAATGACCACTATATATCGGTGTGATAGAACAACTGTTGTTTTAGATAATTCTGGCACAATAAGTACACTATAGATTTGTAACTAAAAGTGTGTTGAGCTATATGTCTAGACTTTACCTAAATATTGTACAAACATTTACAGAGTTAAAAATATGTCAGCTTAATATATGTAAAATGACTAACTAAAGCTCTCTTTTATCCAAATGCATTTCATTTAAACCTTTGGCATATAAAATAGTTAATAAAACTTTCGACAGTTCCGCTATTTGTAATCAGTATCATTCGAAAACAAATTGCCATTTCGGCAATTCTGCTATTTAAAACCTGGCCTATTTTTGTCTTAGCCAAATAAGTGGTAATGTATATATGAAATGTAATTATACATTAGAAAATAAGACTATTTGGGATCACTGACACTGTCCCCCTGATTGGTAAGAGATCTAACGTTTTGACTTTTGTCTGTGCTGTACATCTGTTATCTTACTAGCCAAAATTCTAAATTTTACTCCAAAAAAGAAAAGAAAAAAAAGCTGAACTAATATGTATATCTAATATCTATGTAGCTGTGATGCTAATTGTGGCCAGCTCCTTTGTAATGTATTCATATCTAAAATACAAAGCTTAAAAAAACTTTACCAAGCAGGTATATTGTGTCCTAATTGTACCAAGGAACACTTAGTGTTGCCTCTTTATTTCTGTCAGTCAGAATGTTGTCTGTAATGAAAATAACTAAATGTTCTGACAATTCCTAAACTACTTTTCAGTATTTTAACCCTGACTATTCTAAGTCTTGTCATTCGCAGTCTGGGTCCTTCTCTGAAACATTTACAATCAAACTCCCAAAAATGATTCTAACAAGTACCTCTTTTACAATTGAGTCAGCCTTCTAAATATTTGCTTTTGTTGGCTTTTTAGAGAACATATAACTGTTGTCTGTTGACAGTCTATGCATTTTAAATTATCAGGATATCATCTACAGTCCAGACAGAACTAAAAATGGATGCCAGGTAAACCCACTTCTTCTAAACCTCTTTTATTGTTTATAATTTGGCCAAATGGGACTTAATTGTCACTGATTCTCACCTGACCTGCCTGGTCCTTCCCCTCCAACCTTGAAAACATCTGGGAAAGCTATTTTGGCACCAAGGGACTTTCATTAACCAAAATGGTTAATTGACAAAATCTTCAGAGGAGACTCTTCAGAGACAGTTTGGAGACAAGAGGGGGAAAGCTGTCACAATCCAGATGGACTCACCTTTGCCAGACCTCACAAAATTTACTAAAGCCAAGAGGTTTTAAAGAAGTGATCTTACATAGGGCTACTAAACATCCAAGCCATTGCAGGTACCTCTGACAGAAGGTAAACTCATATTTTAGGTCAAGGCCTTCTATTTAAGTAAAGACAAATTATTTTTGCTGGTTCCAAACTTATCTTTTAGTAGTCCATGCTTATGGGGTTATTTTCCCTGGGCAGTCTATTTAACTGGGAGTTTTCTGACTTTTACTTACTCTGTATTCTACTTTATAAAAATGTTTCTAGTTTTAAACTTAAATAACAAATACTTTCTATTTAGCTGTCAGTTATCTGTCCCCTTCTCCTGTATTTGTCACTGGTCAAAAGACCCTAGTTCCCTGGTTCCTCAGGTACTTGGACTGCTTTTATTAAAAGGCGCTGACTCCTCACTTGGTCCCACAGATTAACTAAAAACGGGAAAACATGACATCTCTCCATTTTGTCTATTGACCTTTGCTCTGAACCTTTCTCTCTTGCAGCCAACTTGGAGTCAAGAAAGGACAGAAATGATGGATGACATCTTTGTGAAAAGGGACTGAAATTACTCCCAACAACAAACTCTGCTCAGAACGGAGAAGCCTCCATATAAAAACTCCAGAACCGCTCCCAAAACCAGAACTGAGATGGAGACCAACCCAGTCTCACCTATGGTTGGAACCATTTACTGCATATGCCTTTGTCCTCTGCCCCCAGTTCTTTTGTCTACCCAGGCCTATAGCCGATGTCTGTACCCGAAGATCCCTTGGTTTTCTTTCTCATACTGATAACCATTGGCCATGTGTAGTCTCACCTTATCTCCCAAAGCCTACATTCCTTTACACAGGTTGCCACTCAAAACCATGCTGCTTCTACAGGAAAGATGCTACTTTATGCCAACTAGCTTGGGATTGTTCATGATACCTAAGAGACCTCGAAATGTGCTGCCAGCCTCCAACAACAAACAATGGAGGGTGGGGGACAGTGGTCTTCCTGGGCTAAAGACTCCAGGCTTTCGTCCAGGACACTACCCAGATCAACTCAATCCTGTTTCTACAATGGGCCTGCTATAGTAAAAGACCCGGTTGATTACCCCTCTCCTTAAGAGACCTCAACACTCCACCTCAGCAAAAAGTAGCTAAATGAAATTTTGTTGTTCATTTTTCCTACCTATCTATCTATCTATCATCAAAAGGCAGGAATGATGGGATTAACAGTGAGGACAGCTATGTTAGGACCAGATCCCCTACCCCCTTGCAGGTGGCTTACTAGAAACTCCCCACCTGACCCCAAAGACTGACAAAGGGACAGTTGTTAACCTTTATCTCCAGATGGGTGCCAAGGATTGAGCAGATAGTAACCTAACCACAACTTATCTTTCTTGACTGCCCAGCAAAGGTATCCCTTCTTGACCTCCCTGGTACTTTTCCACTAGTCCCCTATTTCTAGCCCAAGCTTGTGTGTGGCTGTGGGCTCTAGCTGTCTTTCTGGGGTTTCTCTCCACAGGGCTCCTGCCTGAACAACAAACGCTGTGCTGGTCTTTGAGCCATCTCTCTGCCTCTTCCATGTCTCTTTCATTTTTTAACAGTCATGTTCTCTCTGCCTCATACAGGATCTGGCCTTGCTAGGCACTCACTAACAGCCACTAAATGACTGACTGAAGAAATCCCCCACTATCTCCACCCAAGTTCAGACTATCAGAGCTCTTCTTATTACAACCGCCTTCTTAAATGGCCTCAAGGCTTGAAGACCCTCTTCAGCCTGTCCTGTGTCAACATTGATCTCTCCCTTCACCAATGCAGCCATGTAACTCTGTACTTACACTTATTGTAGGGCTGTGTAGTGATCACATGGTAAAGCCTGCATTAAGCAGCTCCCTTTATCACTCTGTGGTTCCCCTCATTCTTCACCTCATACACACTTATGCTTTAGTGAAATTCGTTACAGATGCAATATAAACCATCATGTTTGATACTTTCACACTTTGCTTTATATATTCTCTGTGCCTAGAGACCCCTTCTCATTTTTCTTTATGTCTATAAAACCTATTCAACCTTCAAAACTCAACCAAGAACTCATTTCCTCTTGGAAGCTCACCCAGACAATATTCTTGCCACCCCTATGGCTCCTTCTGATTCTTTTCTATTCTCCCAGACACAATCAATAACTCTAACCTTAGCGCGTAAGTTAAAATGGCACCTTTCTATTTCTAGGTTTACTATCACCAGGCTGGGAGTTTCTCAATAGAAGAAACAATGTTCCTCATTGTTTAATTATTAAATTCTAACACAATTCTTAGCATTGAACAGATCACAAATAAATGTTTATTGAAGTAACATGGAAAATGGACCCTTAGACTCAGCCACGTCTAGAGGTATTTTCTCTTAGAAATTTCACCTTTCAAAAAATTACCTCAACTATCCATGTTAAAGCACTGCAGTAGTCAATTTCTCAGTTAGTGAATGGATCTGCACATAGGAGAGGGTGCTGGGATTCAAATGTGAGTGAGATAGGAAGCTGTCTACTTTCAGAGAAATTACCATCAGCAGGAAAACTCAAAAGCATGGCAATCCTAAAATCTAATGCGATTTATTTTCCTGATTAATGGGCCTTTAGTGAAGAAAATTAAAATTGAAGGCCACCAAAAACACTTAAATCACCTAAGTAATTTCAACAAGGAACACTGGGGGAGAGAGGAAGGACCCTAAGTGGGAAACAATGGGGCTAGGATGCACCGAGTTCCTGGACTGATATAGTAAATGGCTTACCCTGGATTGGCCTCAGCTACCCCAGGTGGACAGCAGGGAGCCACTCATGCTGAACAGATCACTCAAGGGAACAATGCTATCAAGAACTAGCTAAGCATCTTTCATTAATAGAAATTAGTCATGAACATGAAGGTCCAAGTCAAAGAAATATCCACACTTTTGTTCTTTCTCTCTGATAAGTAAATATAGAAAACTACTCTCCCCAGAAGAATAAGCAAAAGGCAACATAGAGGAATTCCTCATCCAGTGTGCTTAGAAGGAAAAGTGCTCACCTGGACATTTAAGGCCACAGTTCTGGCCCTCATTCTTACACTAATCAGCTCTGTGAATGCTGATAAGTTGCTCCCCTCTTGGGCCTCTATAAAACTAATGGCTTGACTAGGTTATTTTTAGGGTTTCTTCTACCTCTAAAATTCTGCTTTCAAATCTCCAGAGCATATGTTCAACAGAACTGGCTGTTCAAAGTTGGGAACTGACACCCATGAACAGTTAGTCTGTTATCCTAGAACCATGTCCAGGGACCCTTAACTTTGCAGAATCTGAGTCAGGGGAGGCCAATACTGGAATGGTTCACCAAAATATTCACAGCAGTGAAAGCCTAGGGAAGTGATAAATACTAATAGCTATCATGTACTGAACACCTACACTTTGTTAAGCACCCTGGCTGCTGCCCTATAAACAAGATCTCATTTAGTTCTCTCAAATAAACCTAGAGTTTTAAGTATTCTGTTTTTACAGATGGGAAAAACTAAACTGCTCAGGCTTTTTTGCCTCAGTCTTTCTACCCTTTGATCTCAGGTGACAAGTTTCAGAGCCTGCTAATCTTCAGAAAAATCAAGATTCAGATCATCTTTGCCCAAAGCCAGTCAACTCAGACAAAGACAAGAGGAAAACCAAGCAACAGATGTGAATGTACTTACTGATGCTCACGGAGATGCTATTTAAAACTTTGTACTGTTTCCCTGTGTGATTCAGTGTGACACTGCAAGCATAGTTCCCCTTGTCCTCTGGAGAGACATTGTTCACATAAAGCTTCTGTCCCTGAAGATTAAATTGGTCCCCACTTGGTTCAATTTCTTTACAGCCCTAAATTAAAAAATAAATTAATTAAATAAGTGTTTGGGAATACTAATTGTGCTCCCCATTAGCATGAGCTTAAGAACTGTGGGGAGATGATAAATCTATGTGATCCCTAGACGTTCCATTATTTACAGTGTAACCAGAAAATGATAGACAGATAGATTAGATATATAGAGAACAGCAATCCCTTGCCTACTCTGTATGTGTGTGTGTGTGTGTGTGTGTGAGATCTGTACATTTGTATCTATCTATCTGCAACTCTCTCCAGAACATTTGACAAAGAATGTTTCACAGACTAAAATGAGACAAACACTAAGTCTAATAGGAGTTGAGAAGAGAGAAGATTGTGTAGGGTGAAAGGACTCCATGGGGGCTGGAGATGGGTCATAAGGAAATTCTCCACCTAAGGCTTATCTCTCCCAGTGGCTTTCCATTTAATGGTGCCAAGCCACTTTGCAAAGATTGCAAGCCAGGTGAATGACAGTGTTAATTGTGTTATAGACCCAATAACACTTTTGTCACTTATTTGGGGTTTATCTTACAGAATACAAAATAATTCTTCACCAATATCCTACTTGAAGGCCCAAATAATGGAAAAGAACATGGACCAGGCTACAGAGAGCAGATGTCACATAACTTCCCCTGTCACCCAGTCTCAACCAACTGAGGACCAGTCAATCTCAGGAATGCTTTCCCAGCAACCACCCAGAGGACAGGCTTCACATTAATCTGTCCTGTCAGATGCTCACATTCTCAGGCTAGTCAGCCTCACCCCATCAGCCCACTAACTCTTTCTCAGACCTGCTCTCCTTCGTTCAGGAAGCTCCACTCCACAGAGGGACTGCTGGGCTAACTGAGTCCATTATGCATTCAAACATTGAGCTGATGCTCTTTACCAGCACCATGAGAGGTCCTGGCCAAACAGAAATAAGATGTAGTTCCTGTCCACAAGAGGCTCACAGTCTAATAGATAAAATAAACATAATAAACCCCTACTAAATGAAAATTTAACTTCCAAGTATACTTTCTTCCCAACTCAGAATCATACATCATTCTTCCCCCAAAACAGTGTGAATAAATCCACCTCGCATGATGAAACTCAGTAACAATGCCAGAATGGGTATGCATTCATCTACAATGTGCAATATGACTTCTTAGAAATCTTACATTGTTTCCCTATAGACAACTTAAATTGGAAAGCAAATTATCCTTACACAATAGGTTGCAAATAGAAAGGGAGTTACTCTTAAGGTTGGCTGGATGAAGGCATCATGCTCTGATGATATGATGTCTCCTTTAGAGTGCAGAGATACACAAATTTTGAGTCCTTAGACTTCAGAAACCTCTTTCCTGGGTAGTTGTCACTGGATGTCCCCTAGCTACACAATCTCTGCTGTGCTTCTATTTTTGAGCAGTCTCCCTTTTACTGATTCATTCTATCAAGATATGCAAATATTTAATCACATTAATGTTTGGCCCTGCTAGCTGAGGGTCATTCTGTCCCTTTAAAATGACTGGCACTGGCACTGTTCTGATCCATGGGGATATTATTTCAGAGTGTAAACTCTCTCCAAGACTTCATTTTTTGGTCAAAATTTGGGGGTAGTGTCTCATTACCAAGATGCAAAATTAAAACATGAATAATAATAGCAGCCAATAAATGAAGATGTTTATACTCCAGCCACCAATAAGAACACACCTGACACAGCACATACAATGTTTCAGAGACACAATAGCTCAGAGCATTCAGGCAAAGATGCCCTGGGTATAAAAGACAAATGGAGATAAAATTGGCAAGGCAGGCAGGAGTCTTATCATATAAAATCTTGAAAAAGGAATAACCATTAGAGACTTGAGGAGCAAGAGAGTAAAGTGATCAAATTTGGTTTTTTTTTTTTTTTTTTTTTTTTTGAGAATCAAACTTCTGGTTGCTGTGTAGCACAGGGTTAAAATGAAGCAATCCTAAAGACCAGGCAGCAACTTAGAAAGCTATTGCCATAAATTAAGTGGAACCTAAATGAAGACAGAACGGTAGATATAGCACAAAGAGAACAAAAACCAATACTTTAAAGTGGTTCCAATCCATGGGACTTAGTGGTAAATTTGGGATATAGAGAGGAGACAGGAGTTCAATGTTCCTAGTTTGTTCTAAACCTAAGAGAAATAAATAGTAGACACATGGAAAAGGAAAATAATAAAGTCATCATACCAAGAAGCCAAAGTAGCTGTGTTTAATTTGATTGAACCTAAAAGTAACACTAAGAAATTCAAGTCATGTCTTCTTGAAAAAAGAACAAATAAAAATTCTAGAATTGAAAACAGCAATAGCTAAAATTAAGGAATGAACTGATAAATGTAATAGAAGGTTCAACATACCTGAGGATAAAAGTAGTAAATTGGAAAGCAAGTTAGAGGGAAATACACTTTCAGGCACTTGTACAGGAAATAAGTGTAAACTAAGAAAATGTATGTGAGATGTTGAAAACATGTTCTACTTTACAAAAATTAAACATGTATTCAACTGGAGTCCCAAAGGAGACATAAAAAAAAATAAGGTAAAGCAATAGTGAAATAACTGGCAACTGAGAAAACAATGGAAGAGAAAATAAGCCATAATTTCAAAAACTGCATGCAGAAGATATAAGAAACATGTATCTCAACTCATCATGGTAAGACTATGAAAATCCAAAGATAAGGGGAACGTTTTCAACATTCAGAGACCTAGTGCCTGCAAAATGAGCAAAAGGGCAAAAGTAAGGAAAGCAACCCTGTCTACTGCTCACAAAAAGTCTAGAAACCCTGTGACACTAGGATAATATGTTCAATGTGATGACAGAAAATAAATGCCAATCCACCAAAAACAGCTCACAAAAATTGGGATGAAAAACATTTTCAGATAAAGGAAATAACGCATAGAGAGAAAATTCACACTAAGGAAATTTTTGAGAGAAATTAGTCAAGTATAAAAATAAGTGATTCTAGACCAAAATCCCAAGAGATGCTGAGTGGAATGTATCTTTAAGACAAAAGTTAAATATGTGAAAAAATTCTAAAAGAATATTGATTGGATATAATAATAATAATGATAATGTGTTATGGTATCTAAAATATTAAAGAACTAAAATCAGTAACACAATAGCATGTAAGCCCCAAAGTGCTGAACAGTTAAAGAATTATATGGTCTTTCTTTAGTTTACAAAGTGATAGCAAATCACTACTAAATAAATCACTCTAATAAATCAAGGATGAATGCTGATAAAATAACTGGTGAACAATTATTTAAAATGTATGCTATCAAGTTAGTTAAAAAAATAAAATTATGGAAAATACTAAATTGATTCAAAAGAAGGTAAGAGAAAGAGAGAGAAGCCGGGAGCAGGTGGCTCATGCCTGTAATCCTAGCTGCTCAGTAGGCAGAGATCAGGAAGATTGTGATTCAAAGTCAGCCCAGGCAAAATAGTTTATGAGACCCTATCTTGAAAAAAAAACTATAACAAAAAAGAGCTGGTAGAATGGCACAAGTGTAGGGCCTGAGTTTAAATTCCATGATGGCCAAAAGAGAGAGAGAGAGAGCATAGAACAGGAATGACAAACAGAAAATGGCCAGTAAAAGGCAGATTTAAATGTAATAGCTATTTTAGTACCAAAGGGAGGTAAACTTCAAGGCAAAAGAGGATAAAAAGGTATAGGCATACTTTATTATACTGAAAAGTTTACTCAGCAGAAGATACAATAAGTGTAAATATTTCCATATGGAATAATATGATCTCAAAAACTGAATGCAAGTACTAATAGAATCAAAAGAAGAAACGGAAAAGTCCACAATTACATTGAGTTATTTTAACATATTTCTCTAGGCTAAACTGAAAAAGAAAAGGGGGAGAAGGAAATACATAGACTTGAATGGCATGATTAACAAACTCAAATTTCAGTATTTACATTCTTCTGAATACACATGTAGAATTCACAAAAGTTAATCATATGCTAGGCCATAAAGCCAGTCTCACCAAATCTCAAAATATTAAACTTACATAGTGTGTTTTCTGCTGCAATGAAAATAGAAAAGTTATTTTAAAATGCATTAAATTTGCAAATTAAGCAACCCTTCAAAATCATCTTGAGACACAGAAGAGATCTCATTGAAAATTAGAATATTTTAAACTGGGAGATGAGAACATGATATATCAAAACCTTCAGAGTGCAACTAAAATGCAGTTTAAATGGAAGTTACAACTTTAAATATATATATTAGGAAGTAAGAAAAGCTTATAACTAATGAAGACAAATTTTTCTCTTAAAGTTAGTAACAAATAGATAAAACCAAAAATCAGATAGAAGGGGGAAAACTAGATGAGTGTATATATTACTGAAACAAAGAATAAATGAATGAAATTACTGAAACAAAGAATAAATGAATGAAATACAGAATTAACAATGCCTAGAGCTAGCACTTTAAAAACATTAATAATATTGATAAACTCCTGACATGAGAAATGAACAAAGAGGTAGGGCAAGATGGCAGATTAGAAGCACACACCCTTTTGACTCTGTGAATGAGAAGAGTCAGGTAACAAAGGAGAGACTGTATTCATTCTGAAGACAGAAAGAGAAGAACAACATCGGGAATCACAAAAGAGGTGGCAGTACAGCTAAAAAGCATGGATAAGAAGAGGAAAAAGAAAAAAGCATAAAGCAGTCTCAAGCTCCATCCCCATCTCCCCAGGGAGAGAGGAAGCCGAAGATCACACAACCACAAGGTATGTCAGATGGACTGAGTCATACAGGGGCAATTCTAGCTGCAGGATGAGTCCACAGCTGCTGCAAGCCCTAAACCCAGTAAGGGGATTTGGTGAGACAGTGATGCTCTGGCGTGGAAGCCTAGTTTCAGGAAACAAAGGCAATCTATTATCTCCCTTATCTCAGAAGGCCAAAGCAAAGTGCCAGCTTCAGAGAAAGTCCATTGTTTGAGACTGAGTTACTCTGGGGGTTTGAAAAGAAGGAACAAT